GGAATAAATTAAAGAGGTAAACACAGTAAAATTTAGGTAAGAAACTCTAACAAATGTGTATGACAATTAAAAAAAAAAATAGAAAATAGGCATAAAAGTTGTAGATACATAACAGAATTATTGGTTTTGAGAAATTCTTTGTTCCGGGGGTAGGATACACTTGCTGCTGGCCAAGTGCCGCTTCTAATAGGTAATTTGTAGGATAAATCTGGACGGTAAAGTTAAAATCTTATAATAAATAAAAGCTTACAATGGGTTTTCGGAGGTGCGTTGGCAAAATTTCTGATAGCCCTTTTTTGAAAAACAAATTCCGACGAAAAAAGTTCCAGAAAAGCAAAGCATATCTGATGTGAGACCTCATGTGAGACTTAACCCTGGCAAAGCATAGATCTCGTGCAATCTCGTTTCTACTTCGAGAAAAGTGACTCGCACACAGGTTAAACCATGCCAGGAAAACATCTAGATTAGCTGACAATAAAGATGTTTTTAATAGTCATTTACTTGCTTTCGATTCTGTAGTTATTGATTCTGTGTATTGTATTGTATATTATAAGGACATTGTTTAATTATTGAAGACTTAATGAGTTAATGTTTTTGTTGTGTTTTTTTAATATTGTTAAATACTTATTGTTCGGTTTGGGATTAATGTTTAAGTTATATATTACATGTTACTTTATAATATATTTTTAAAATTTGAATATTATTGTTCTAAATCCCCATGAGCCCAAAAGTTTTTTGGACACTATTTTGTTCTACATTAGTTGTCCTATCAAATTGAGTGTAGTTTCAAAAGATATAAGAAATATTGCCCAAAGCCTAACAAAATGTTTGTTTTGTTCTACTGAGCACCGTTGTCTGGCGCTAAAGAATTTTATTGTATGATATAAGTATACCTTTTTTAGGTATGCATGTATGTATGTCTTTCATGCTGTAGTTTTAAAGAGAAACTTTGCATACGTCTGATAATTGAGTATTTTACAGGAGGGAGAACTGAAATATTGCTTGCGGTATATTTTCACATTGCAGGGAAAGGATTAATATTAAAATTTTTAATTGCGTCGCCAAAGAAAAAAAATATGTCGGGATGGTTATAAGCAAAATCCACCGAGGCGCGACGACAAAAAATTAATATTCATAAAGGAGCAAGAGGGAGACCCTTGACACGATTCAGTAACGAACATTAACGAAGGATTGCTTTCACGTTAAAATGGAAAGGTGCCTTAGGCTAAGCTAAATTTATATAATTAAAAAAAATTAAAATTTATATAATATGTATACGGAAGACAAATTGAAAAATGTTATGCGGATGCATGTGGTGCTCGGTTAGTACTTACAAATATACCAGATCTTCCACAGTTAACATCTTCTGTTGCAACACTAGACAAAAATTTAATATCAACTGATATTTTATTTTAAAATCAGTTTCCCTAAAAGCCAAATTTTTCAAGACATCAAACATGCAGGCATTAATCTGTCACGATTACACATCTTCGAATGGTCTGCTTTCCAGAAACTCGGGCAGAACGAAGCTTGAATATACTACACCGCACGCTGCTGCGAAATGCAAAGATAATGGAAAAACGCTCAATTTACACGCACACACATACATGGAATTTTAATAGACGGGCGGTAATTTTTTAATACATTACTTTCAACTGCTTTGTAATATATGTATAGTTTGACCTGGTTGACAAAACTGAATGTTCTACCAATATTCGAAGGATATTTATGTTAAATCTAGAAGATGCCTTAATTAAAATTTTTGTAACGCCTATTTTGAAATAAGTTTGAACAACCTCGTCTCAAAATATGCGGGGAGTACTATTTAAGAACGTAGGTACCATTCAAACATTTCCATTACTTTAATCGAACTAAAACTCTTCTTGGGTGGTAGTATTCATGGACCCTTTTTTCGCCTATTATACTATATTTATATAATGACACACACATGGTAATAAAATATTATCTGAAAAGTTGGTTAGAAAATTCCAATATACCATATATTGTGCAATTTTAAAAATACCTTTTTTATTTTGTAATGTGAATTTTTTAGAAAATTGACGAAGCGGCATCAATTAAACACTGAGAGTGCGCTCCTAGCAATTTTTTTTATTTATGTGAGCTCGTGCAAAAAAAAAAAACATTTTTCAAATAATTTTTCTAGCCTACTTCCTTTTTGTTCTATCTATCTTCATTGGACGAGTTGGCAACAGACAAGTCAACTTAGAATATAATTTCTACCTAGTCCTGGTACTTTTTGAAAAATCGCATTTTCATTCTACCTATCTTCTGCCTACTTCGATAAAATTATAAAACAAATCTCTTTTGCATGGATGAAATAATAAAAAATACTTTTCATCACTAGAAAAGGTTAATTTTAACTTAAAGATCGAATTATAGAGCTTTCAGGTTCATCAACAATATTTGACATAATTCTTTGTATGAAATATCGAACACACTCTTGATTTTGCATTTAAGCAAGTAAATAGTAACTGCAAATTGTCAATATATTAACGTAAAAACAACTAAATAATTATAGTACATAAAAAAGAACAGAGGTATCATTAAAAGACAGAAATATTTTTATAAAACTCTTACACGTTTACTCTAAAAACATCACACTTTGGCCACGTTATAAGAGGATGAAATTTAAGCACGCAATTTTTTTATATGAGTAATGCTTTAACACCTATAATTGAAAAAAAAGCAAACCGCTTCTAGTAGGTTACTATAGGCTGTATTTGATATACATTAATACAGCTACTATATAATACTTAATGTGACTATCAAGTATATTTTAATGCTTACCAGTCAACACTTTGTAAATATATATTTAAGGAAATAGTCAACAAAAAAGGAATTTAACTTTTTTAAAAAATGAATCCAATGTTAAGGGTTTTTCCTTTGCGAGTTAGAGTCACAGTCGAAACAAATTGTGCAGCGCTGAAATACAAATGGTCAACGGATGTAAATAAAGATATTATATAAATTATTATTCGTAGATACAGTCAATAGTAGTGTGTAAATAGAAGTGACTTTATTTTTAGACGAAATAAATTTTAAGGTTCCATTAAGTTTTACGCGAAATGAATTGCTCATGTGGGGTGAAACTTCAATAAATAAATTGAAAGTTGCTAGGGAATTAGAGGAACGCTGCTTGCGCGCTTTGCCGGGCTAACAACAAAACTGTCAAAGAAAAAAACAAAAATAATAAGGAAAATAAGGAACCCTTGAAGAGGAGGGTAGTCCGACTCTATAATCATGTGCTTTAACTCACCACTCGAAAAGTGTTAAACATTACGAATATTTTTTGCCACCACCTGTTTTCACTAAATGTAACCCCCCGAGTAGTGATAAACTGCCTACACGGATTTTAAGTACAATGATAAAACGGGAAGAGAAGAGTATAGCTACAAAAAAAAAGTTCGGGATGAACAGCAAGCTTCTGTTAAAGTTGATAAAACAAAAAAAAACTAGTTCAAACTGATTCAGAGAGAACAAAGAGAACAAAATATATCCAGTCGACACACTAAATATCGTCGTATGAAGAAAAGAACAACAACAACATTTTGTGTGTATTAAACATTTATTAAATAATTGTCGATTAAGCTTGCTATTTTAACTAAAATTCTTATTTGGAGTAAATTTAACCTGTAACAAAGGATTTCGTGTAGCCCTGGAAGCCGAAGGTGGAAATCCTCAAACGTACTTCACTCAAGTGGTGTGTCTGTCTTAGACGTGATAGGGATATAAAAGTTGCTAGGAGAGAAGCTGGCACACAGTTGGAATGATTGCCCCCGAATCTAGTCTCTATAGTTTTGGTCTAATACTAAGATTTTGTTCAACGGTACTTAAAACTGCTTCGTCATAACCATGCGTACTTACGGACCTCGACCGGTGTGTATTATTGGCGGAAATGACAAAACTTCCTAAATAGCATTATTTCTTAAAAAGCACAATTTTCCAACACAAATAATATTCACTAAGGTGCCCCAAGAACGCCACTGGAATAATTTTAATCTATTCAGGCTAAATTGGCCTCTTAATATACCAAATAACTTTGACAAATTTCAACACATTTACATTTTTTTCAATTTAATACCCCGTATTTTGAAATCTTTGTGAGCGTCTTTTCATCAAGGTGCATCGATATATGTATGGGCCGCTCCGCCATACCTCATTACAACACGCGCACTTTACTCGCCTGTTTATTATTCCGAATAATTAAAACTTTTTAATTATGTCGCTATAAATTGCTTGGTTTATCTAGAAAAGCTGTACGATATAATGTTTCCATCTATTCTACGAACCTAGTGAACCAACGTAAAAAAAACACCAAATTACCATTTAATATTTTTATATTTCAAAACAAAAATACGCTGAAAGACCACCAAAAATAAAATATACGTTATAATTTAATTAAACAAATTTTTTGAACCATATCTGGAACACCGGATGTTCGATCGAGAAAATTTTGGAACCAGAGGTTTGGAGCAATGACACAAAGATATAGCTTTGTCAGAAAAGTCTAGGCCATCCAGATTATAGGGAAAAACCTGAAATTTTTTGAAGTCAATTATTGGCCAGAACTGAAAAAAGTCCGTTTAGGCCACATCGAGATCTACAATTCCTGCGTACATCGTACAGGGTGCGTAAGATGCGGGCTAAAAGCGATTAGTTGGAATCAAAAATTTCCTCGTAAAACAACAATCCAACGTTGGTTTTAAGGGTTGAGTAAACGGCATTTACCGTTTTAGCATATTGTAGAAAGTGCGCAAGATATCAGACCAAAACGATCAAGTCCGTGGTTAAAACGATAATACCGGCAGTAAATAGCTTGTACAATGCGTAGCTCCATGCTTATGGGGGTAAATGTTTTTCGTGTCATTAGCTGGAGCTTAGGAGAAAAGTAATTATATTTTTTAAAATCTAAATAGGGCGATGCAATTTCTGCGAGCGACAGTTAGTTACTGAACGCAAATTAAATTCGAACATATTACCTGGAGTTGCTGGAAGCTACGGAATTGTTCGACCTCGATCTTCTGCTCTTTAAGCTGTCGCCCCTGTTCACGACACCTTTTCCGGTAATTGAAAAGTGCCGAAGTCGATAATACTCTTCTTCGACTCCCGTGTTGGGCATGGACGCCACTCGAGATCTCTGCTGCGGCAGGCAGAGATAATTAGGCCTGCCCGACGATCGCCCTGGTGTTTTTACCGATTGCGATCGGTTATGGTGGGGACTTCCATATCTGGAATTTATTGAAAAGGAACGACTGTTAAATACCGAGTGTAACTTGCATGATTGGTAAAAATTAAAGGGCGTGTGTTTCTTAAGGTTGTATGCCATGGCATATTGGCACGGTTCTCAATGGAACAAGTCCGTGTCAAATGTTGGAAATGGTTCGTTTTCTAATGCGATAGGCATTATTGAATTCTAAAACTTAGTAGTCTTGGCGGTATTCCATTGGTGTAGTATCGTACCAAAAATTACCAAGAGTGGCGGGTAGGCGAACAAGTAGTTAACTTATCTGTACCTCGGTTTAAAATTAGAATTTTAGTTACTTTCCGGCAGTTGTTGGCAAAGATGTTTCTTCAAAATGGGTGAGTGTTTGTAAATTTTTGGTTTCTATAAATGACAAAAGTATTCTCAGTGTGTTCAAATTTCTTATATGTAGAAGATTAATATTTACTAACATTAGTGGCACAAAAATGGACTTGTCGGTGGTAGCATTTCATTCAAAACTGACTACAAGATGCTATGTATAATTATTATTCTAATAAAGTACCTGTATTAATACCGATTATTTTATTCACCAAACTCGTCTTTCTATTGTCTGCAAATTAGTGTTACCCTAATTTAGGAACGGTAGAACTTAAAAACTGAACGGAAAACTATCATTGTAATTTAACTGAACTTTATATTGTCCCTCTTGCCATTGCAAATTTACATTTTATTACTCTCTTGTATTAAGAAACAAAATATAAATATACGGTTTCTATTATTATAAGCATTTCGCGATCCTTCCAGTACTGCCAAAATTGCCATCTTAAACGAAAATTTTCTTCTCACTTTGGAGTTCTTTTAGCAACTTCAAGTCAAGTAAGGAGGCCCAGGACCCTAATCACAAATTATCCAAATCCCACAGGTAAAAAATGATATTGATGGGCTGTCTGTATAAGTTTTAGATTTTTGAAACTTATCCGATGACTTTAGATTATAATAAATATTAAAAATTAAAACAGTATTGGACAGACATTATTTAATTATCGAAGAATTATGCTGAGTTAATGTGTTTGTTAACTCCGCTATGCCAGTCCCAAGCCTGGGGCCTTGCCACACAAGGGGCAAGGAAGGAGGAGGGATCGAGGAGTAACACCTCGCTAAAAAACCTAGGTTCAGCTGGCCCCGGCTGATAGCACCTTGTAAGGGCCCCTTGTCCAGGGTTACGGATCAAGACCACACCGGCGGTGAAGGCGAAGAAGAAAGCTTCGATTCGGCGGAATCGGCGTAAGTGGCAACCTAGGCTTCTAGGGGTAAATTCAAAGCATCGAATGACTGCCGGTATAAGCAGTCCCCCCCTGTCGGTCAACAGCTTCGGGTGGAAGAACTGAGAGGAGTCGGGGCACTCTCTTGTCCCAGAAATGAGAAATCGTTTCAAAGGCGGAAGAACCAGCAGATGGTCAACGGCAGGGGAATGCAGAAGGCAACGGGAAACCACTGCATTAAAGATCTCTCTAGATATCCCCAGGACATTCATCCGATAAACTCTTATCATGTTGGAAGCTCAAACACAAATGGCCTCCAGTCCCGGGCAGACCTTAAATGGTCAGGAGGTGCGAAGAATCCCCCGGTTCCAACTGGATAAGATAACGAAAATAGCGACCTGGAATGTTAGAACATTATTTGCAGCTGGAAGGCTCGATAATTTGATTCAAGAAATGGACAGAATGAAAATAGAGATCCTTGGAGTATGTGAGGTCCGATGGTCTGGAAGTGGAATGGTCAAATCAGGAGGAAAAGTCTTCTACTACTCTGGTGACAATGCTAATCGTAATCAACACGGTGTTGGTATCTTGATGAACGAGAATATGCAGAAATCTATGAAGTGCTTTGTCCCAATCTCCGAGAGAGTGGCTCTCGTCCAGATACTTGGCAAGCCTCTAAACATCAATATTATCCAGGTTTACGCTCCGACAGCAGACAAACCTGAACAAGAAGTCGAAGACTTCTATAACCAAATAGATACGGCCTTGAAACTCACAAGGACTAATGAAATAAATATAATTCTTGGAGATTTTAATGCCAAAGTTGGAAGGGGCAGGACGGGGTCAGTGGTTGGCGACTGGGGTTTGGGTGAGAGAAACAACAGGGGAGAAGGGCTGGTTCAGTACTGCGAGGAAAACAATCTTATGATCGCAAACACATGGTTCAAACTCCCGGCAAGACGACTATACACCTGGAAATCCCCACAAGACAATAATTATCACGTTGTTCGAAATCAAATAGACTACATCATAATTAACAGAAGGTTTCGAAATTACATCACCAAAATTTCTACAATGCCGGGTGCCGATATCGCATCAGACCACAACCCGGTGTGCGCCAACATTGTTCTACGTCTAGCCAAACCTAAGAGAAAGAGCCTTAGGAAGACATTCGACCTACAAAAATTAAAAGTTGAAAAAACAAGACTATCATATGAGGACCATCTTAATAAAGAACTAGAAAACGTTGTCAACACCAACGACACTGACAGGTACTGGCTCGATCTCAAGCGAGCCTTTACAACCACAAACGAAAAGTTTCTCTTGAAAGAAAAAACAACAAGTAAAAACAAGTGGATGACCGAAGATATCCTAAAACTGATGGAGGAACGAAGGCAATGTAAAACCCAGAACGATTACAACAGATATGTAGCTCTTCAAAGACGAATACGAAATGAGATCAGAGCGGCAAAAGAGAAATGGCTACATGAAAGATGCCTAGAGGCCGAAGGCCTTTGCAGGCTTGGGGATAGTTTTCACCTTCATAAAAAAATAAAAGAAATAGCGGGGTTATACAACAACAGACCGCTTAGCCTCATTAAAAACCAACACAATGAAATAGTGACAGAACCTGAGGAATTGCTGCAGGTATGGAAAGAATACACAATTCGTCTTTTCAACGACGATAGACCAGATAATCCCCCAATAGAGATATCTACTCTCTCAGGACCGAGCATACTGAGGAGCGAAGTCACACATGCCATCAAGCTGATGAAAAATAACAAAGCTCCGGGCCCCGACGATATGTTCTCAGACACGCTTCATTTAGTCAGCGAACAAAACTTGGAAAAGATCGTGACACTTTTTAATAACATCTATGATTCCGGACACTTCCCAGCGGATTGGCTCCGCTCTACGTTCGTTGCAATGCCAAAGGTGAACAGCGCAACATCATGTAAGGATTATCGTCTCATTAGTTTAATGAGCCATTTTCTAAAACCTTTTCTCCGAATACTTCACACAAGGCTCTATCGGAAATGTGAGGAAGTGAGTGGGGCTAGTCAGTTCGGATTCAAGAGCGGGTTTGGAACTAGAGAAGCCATATTCAATCTTCAGACGTTGGTCCATAATTGCCAGGATCAAAGAAAGGATGTCTTTATGTGCTTCATCGATTACGAGAAAGCGTTCGACAACGTTAAACACGACCTTCTGATGACATACCTTGGAGAACTGGGACTAGATGGAAAAGATATAAGGTTGATCGGTAATCTGTACTGGCACCAGAGAGCGGAGGTTCGAGTGAGCAACGCTGGAACAACCGAAGATTTCGAAATCAAAAAGGGCGTTCGTCAAGGATGCATCCTGTCCCCCATGCTATTCAACCTATACGTAGAAAAGGCATTCTCCGAGTCCATCTCGGGTAGTCCTCTTGGTATCAAGATAAACGGAATCCCCATCAACAATATCCGGTTCGCAGACGACACCGTGATATTGGCAGACAATGCACAGGATCTCCAGAGTCTGCTAACGCAGGTCAATGAAGAAAGCACAATATTAGGCTTAAAAATTAACATCAGAAAAACCAAGGTTATGATCGTTAGTAGGAGCGATATTCCTAATGCGCGAATACATATCAATGAAGAAAACATCGAACAGGTCACACAATTTAAATACCTGGGATGCATGATCAATAAAGGATGGGACCCGGATCAAGAGATAGGATGTAGGATCGAGCAGGCTAGGACAACCTTTTTGAGGCTCGGAAAATTCATTACAGACAAGAACTTGAACTTTGGCCTCAGATATAGAATGGTGAAATGCTATGTCTGGTCCGTCCTCCTATATGGTGTCGAGGCATGGACACTGAGGGCACAAACCATCAACAAAATTGAGGCTTTCGAAATGTGGATTCTACGACGTATGTTAAGGGTGTTTTGGGTCGATTACGTGAGGAATGAGGATATCCTAAGAAGAGCCGGCCTGGCAGAGCGAGAACTATTCGAGAACATCAAGAAAAGGAAAACAGGCTATCTCGGACATATAATCCGAGGAGAGCGATACCACTTTCAGCGTCTCATTCTTCAAGGTAAAATTGAAGGAGGAAAAAGGGGAATAGGCAGAAGAAAGTTATCGTGGCTAAGAAATATCCGACAATGGACAGGGATAAGTGACTTCCAAACGCTACAGAATGCTGCAATTAACAGAACCATCTGATAAGAAGGCGATGAACGCCCACGCAGAAATCTGCTTGGCACCTGAAGAAGAAGAATGTGTTTGTTGTTTCTTTTTATAAAATGTTAAATGTTTAAGTTATATATTAAATCTTAGCTGACAATAAATAGCTATTTAATATTTTGGTTAACTTTATAGACAGCTAATAATAATCCTTAGTATTCTGATTTTGTATACTTTTTCCTACCTTATTTTTTACCATCCTGATCAATTTTGTGCATATTCAAAAGATGATACAAGAAATAATTTCCAATGTCCATCAAAATATCTGTTACAGTGTACAGCTTAATGGCACTGACCGAATGCGTACCTTGTAGGCGATAAAGCTCTATTGCACATTATTTACAAAACTTCTGGATTCCTCCTGCGTTAGTTTTTGCTAAGTCCAACTTGCTAACGTTTTGCCAATCATCCTGTTTTTCTTCTTCAGAGCTGAACTGAACCGGGCTCGCGTTTTACTGATCGTTAGTTTGGTTAGACTGTTTCATGTTTTTTGAGTCTATTTGATATTTTTTGTTCGGTCTCTCCAATT